TAAACCTTAGGGATAGGTTTTGTAGTAAACCCTTTTGTAGTTATATGTTTATTCTGACTTTAAAATTTGTTATCAATATGAAATAACTTAATTTTGTGTTTCCTTTTTTCGATCTTTGACATTGTGGCGATATGTGTGCCAATTTATGTTCATTTTGTGTTCATATAATTCTTGTACCCAATTTGGAAATTATACTTTTTATATATTGCCTACATGTCCATTCTCCCTGCGATTTGTCAGTTTATGTTCTCTTTTATCAGTCTATTTTCTGTGCACAATATGTTTAAATTCTCCTTAGTGCACCAACTTTATTTCAGTTTCTGTTCTGTTTTTGCTTCACAATTTAGCTGATGTTGTAAACTATAAAAGTTAAGTTTTTTCTATTATTCTATTGCCAATCCGAACGCATATATTTTAGATTTTACTATTTATTTGAGCTTCCTGTCCTTATTTGGAATTGCAAAATCTATTTATTTTCCTTATTATTTTTTCTTACAAAAAATAATCTGTTTAGCAAGGTTCAGTTAAGTGCCAAAGTTGTAAAATGATATTTTGTCCATTTGATATGTTTTGTTGATTGGGTACACGATCTGCCATTAGCGTCATAGTTAACTTTGAGACACAATTACATATCATTAGGTAAGATCAACTCTCCACTGAAAGAATTAGAATTAGTTTTAGTTATCTTATATTCTTGTGTGTTTTTATTTAGAGAAATCACTACTTCAGAAATATTCGTTATCTTTCAAATGACAAATATCCCCTACACATTTGCTTGTCTCTTACAAATTGCAACTCAAGATGTAGCACTTGTTAGGTAAATACAAATTTCAATTGGGTGTTTGTTACAATTTCCGGCAAGAAATTTGTAATGGTTTGCTTTTAGGCTGACCTCAAAGAGATGTATAGAGGCAAGAATCATTCAACTAACTTGTTAATTTTTGGCTTTGTTGAGGTACTGTTTTGGACAAAGATGATTTAAAAATTTTAATGGAGTACAAAATTGTGTTGGATTTTCATTTTGGGGAATGCATGTTCCATGTGAAGTATTCTATCACTTTTGTAATGCTTTATACCAAGAGTCAAGTGCCGAATCAATTGAAATCGAAGATAGCTTAACTTTTGCCTAACTTTGGCAGACAAGTGCACCTCAACATACTGTTTCAAGGTCGCTATCTGTACCCGGGAGGAATATTTTTATCGTAAGATCTTCATCTTTTGTGTCCCGAGAAAATCATGCTCCAGATACTGATGGCGGTATGTACAATCTCGTATTCTCATCTGCTTTCCTTTTGTGACCTCATTTAACAGCTTATTACAACTACACCAACTGTTATTCTGAAGTTTGATCTGATGAAAATAAGTCTTTTCTCATTAAAAAATACAAAATACCAGTGCACTCTAAAGGTGATATTTATGAGTTAAATACAAACTTATAGAGGATGCTTGTAATATTAAATAAAAGTGAGATTTTTTCTTTTTAATTTTTGTAATTAAACTAAACGGTCAGGGATAACAGTTACATTATTCATACATATTTTTTGTGCATATTGAACTATTGACTTTCTCAAATTGATTTTACAACATGCAGATCCATCCCGAAATGCTTGTCTGTCACAATAATTGATTATGAATAGAAAAAAAAAGGAATAATAATAATAATAAGAATAATAATAATAATAATAATAAATGTTTATGTTACTTTTTTGGTTATGGTGTTAGATCAAATAAGCCCCGAAGCTGTCCATGAGGATGAAGAGATTCCTGAAGAGGAAGCTGTGTGCAGGATTTGTCTCGACACATGCGAAGAAAGAAGCATACTGAAGATGGAATGCCTTTGTAAAGGGGCACTAAGGCTTGTTCATGAAGACTGTGCAATAAAGTGGTTTAGCATGAGAGGCAACAGGCTTTGTGAGGTCTGTGGTAAAGAAGTTTCCAATTTGCCAGTTACTTTGCTTCGGGTGACAAACACTAGTCAAAGGGATAACAGAGATCAGAACCAGATCAATTCAATAAGGTGATTTTTTTCCTTAACCCTATTGATGAGGAAAAAAATGATAAAAGAATTAGGGTCTAGTTACCTAATTGAACTTGAGATTTAGCCATGTTAATGTTACAGAGAGAAATCCAGTTATCTTTCAAGATTCAGAAGCACCCCTTTAGGCTTATATTTTTTTCTTAAAATAAATAGTAAACCTCTCAAAACAAGTGTGACTTGTGATATGAGCAAAAGTATTAGAAGATATTTGCATTTCTTCTTGTGATTAGGTGGAACTTGAATGGAAACTTTATCCAATTATGCCTGAAAATGATGATTTAAGGTTAATACATCTGTTTTTTTTGTTACCTTAGTTTGTGTTCTTTGGTATATATATATGTTTTTGTTTTGGTTTGCTCGGAATTGAAATGAGGCTTATAACATTTTCTTTTGTATGCTTTTCCAGCGCGTGGCAAGATTTTGTGGTGCTCGTCTTGATTAGCACAATATGCTATTTCTTCTTCCTCGAGCAGCTACTGGTAACATATTAAGCCAACACAATATAATGATTAACACTAAAGTTCCAAAGCAGTGAGAACACGAAAAATGTAAAACTACGCGCATTATGCATGTGTGAATGGTGATGAGATAACCACAGTTTTTCAACCCGGAACGGCCCGGGACCCGGTTGACCCGGGGCATTGACCCGGCTGGTTCAACCCGGTTGACTAAAGAGATGCTAGATAGTACAATCCGGATACTTCCAATATCATAATCTCTAGAAAAGATTTGTCTATGATGTCAGATGAAGAGTCGGTATTACTTGCTCGTGATGACTGACTCTTGTTGTTAATGCTGTTGGCAGTGAGGTATGGACTCAATTGATCCACTGGAATGTATTTACTGACTCTCATATTGGCAACATCATAGAACAAACAATTGTTATATGATGTTGTCGAGGTATGGGCTCAATTGATCCACTGGGAATTTATGATGTTGACAACATCATAGAACAATTATAGAACAAACAAGAGCTATCATCGTGAGCAAGTAATCCAGATTCTTCCTCTGACACAAACCAACCTCCAGTCGAAATTTTATTTCCAATATCACTCAACTCATGCACACAACTCTCTACAATATATTCACTATCGTCAAAGTTGAGATTTTCATCTGCCATAAGTGAAGAGTCGATATTTTCTGCCATTCAATTCATTCATAAACGAACTTTCTGCAACAAATATCACCGCGTCATCCCCTTCATGAACTTCACTAAACTTTGTTCCCTTCTTACTCAAACAAGCATAAAAAAAGTTATGACTTTACTCTTATCCACTTCAGGTTCTATCTTAGAGATTTCCCTCTCTGATCAATTAGGGAACAACCGCCCTTCCAATTTGTCAACATTCAAACCAGTAATCAAACTTTTGGCATTCGTTGAATACTTCTTATCTTCACCATTCTCGGCGGAGACCATGCTGTTATCCCCATCGCGCTCCACAACACCCATTGCCTCCTCGATTAGATAAATCTTTTCTTGAATGCTAGACATTATGATATTGGAAGTATCCAGATTAGTACTATCTAGCATCTCTTTAGTCCTCTGTATTTCAGAGGCTATCCTCTTCACTTTTACTTATAAAAATACAAGTCTTTCATGTATGTATTTGGAAGTCGCCATTTTTTTAGCTCGAGTCAGACCCTTAGAAAATGAACATGTCTTTTAATTGTTTAAGGCATGTTCATTTTCCGAAATCAAAGTGTAATGGGAAACAGGTTCACCCTTGTGATACTTGTCATAAGTCTAAGCATTACAGACTACCTTTTGTTTCAAGTCATATTCAAAGTAATTGCAGATTTGACTTGATACATGTAGATGTGTGGGGTCCCTACCACGAAATTTCTGTGACACACTTCTTATATGTTGACAATAGTACACACCACATGAGACATCATACAAACCTCTGTCCTAGGCATGAAATGCCTCTGAGAGGTTGGTTTCGGCTGCTGGCTAGTCCCGCGTCTTCTAGTATGGTTTCCAGTGGATTCATCAACATTTCTCTTCTACCAATTATCTGGATAAAATCACTTAAAAGTTAAAAAGAAAATCTCAATTCCATGGAGCTAATGTCACTCACGCTTCGCCCGAGCTTTCGACCACCAACAGCGTTGAAATGGTGCATCATGACATAAAAGTTCACTTGACAAAGGCACGATCACACACAAAACAAAGCATACATTTTGTTCACTCAAATTAATCCACACACTAACCCTCCCTAAGCGCTGTCTAAAGAGTAAGAACGGCGCGAATCAAGACCGTTCTTCTCCTCAACATCTCTGAATCCCGTGAGCTTCTCAAATAGAGTTACTAACTTCTTCAGTCGACCAGAAAGTTCCAAAGCCTCGGCCTTCCCGCACATCTCGCAGGCCGCCGCCTTCTTATCCGACTGGTAGTTCAGTTTCCTCTTCACGATCTCGAAATTCCTCTCTCAAATCTTCTTCTTCGGCGAAGATGAGGCTGTAGTTAGGGTTTCGGATGGCGGATTTCTTCGCGGCTTCAATCCAGGACTCGATACGTTCTGATTAGCATTCTCAGAGTGTCTTACGGACTCGTATCGGGCCATTTTTTCTTTTGTTGGAGCAATTGCTCCGGCGATTTTGGGGTTTTTGTCCATCGGAAAAGTGTAAATGAAGACAGTGTTAAAATCACACAGAATTTTCTACCAAATTTTATGTTATCTCATCACCGTTCTCACATGCATAATGCGCATCGTTTTACATTTTTCGTGTTATCATTCCGGATTATATTACCATTCCCGATTATATTACCATAATAACGAAGCATATTCTA